TCATATTGGCTAACCCTTCTCTTATTATTATGATAGGGTTATAGTTGGCCAACCCAAGAGCTACTCAAAGTTTTTATGAGATGGAGCCAATTTCAAGTGTTAAAAAAATTATACTTAAATTGTTATAAAATTATATAGTATATGCTGCTTTACATTGACCAGTAAGTGCGACGATAGTAAAGTACATGGTAATTCTAGATGATATATAGTATATGCCACTTTACATTGTCATAAAATTATTTAGTAAAGTACATGGTACTTCTAGATGAAGATAATGATAGTGATATTGTATCCAATTTTTTTTATAAATTTTATGTAGTTTTTATTTTTTATTTTTATATATATTTTTGTTTTTTTATTATTAATCGGATGGGAATTATAAATCCAAATCTAATTACATAAGCACCTCATCCAAATATGTAATAGTCAGATCAAGTTGTAAAGTTTCAAGTATCATTGATAGGCCTACTTGTTTGGTTATATTATTCTTTTTGTAATATATAATATTTTTTATGTATCTTTTTTTTTGTTCATTTATAAAAAAAAATGTAAAATTTAAATTAAGAGAATTGAATGGGGTGAAAAATGGTAGTTTAATTTATAATTAAATAGAGACTAAATTCAAAATTGAGTATTTTAGTCAAAAGAAAGTTTCACAATCTTATTCATATTTTTAATAATAGTATAATTATAGAATTATAGATGTGTTCACTTTTTTTTTAACTCTTTTGTATTTTTGTGCGTAAAAATAATATTAATATGTTACACTTACTTTTCATTTTTGTATTTTTATATTTTATTAATTTTTATTGTTTGTTTATGACATTAAAGGTTAACATGTTTGACTCAAAATTTGAACTATTGATCTTTACCAAACAGTAAAATAATTTCATTTTTTGTCAATTCTAAATTATATATTTCATTTTCATTACCAATAAAAATAATTCTTGTTTATTACACTTATTTTTTTAATTTGATTAATAAAAATATCATAAGTATGCCTAATATTTCATACATTTTTTTTGTAATTTTTTATATGTATTTCTATTTTAAAAATTTTATTACTTAACTATGACTTCATAGATTGATCATTTTGATTCTAATGGTTGAATTGCTTAGCCACCACTTGGATTAAAAATAATTTTGCTTTTGAGTCGGTTTTAAAATATATGAGTGTATATTGTTAAAAATATTGACATAGATCTAATTTAGTAAGAGAAAATGAGAGTTGATAATTTAAGTATAAGACTTAATGAGAGGGGATTAAATGAGGCAGGGAGTAATAATTGAACTTACATTTTCAACCCTTACCATTAGAGATGGATTAAGTACACAATTATGGGCATTTTAGTAGCCATTAAAGCTAGCATCAAAGGTATAATAAAATGATTTTTATATCCTTTTTCAAATAAAGAAGTAGAGGGTAATTTTAGTCCAAAAAAAGTTTCACAATGTATTCACCTTGCATTGACACTAGTATATATATACTAACAATGAAAACACGTTCATTGTGTTTAAAAGGATATTTATTGGGTTTTATGACTGGATGAAAAAAACGGTGGTTGCATTCAAATGAGGTCATTAATTTGCAAGTTTCAGCATTAGAATTCTGTGAGCTTAAATCTCTAGCTAGGAGTTACTGAATTGAGTTTGAGCATCATTTATCACTTCTCCTATTTAGCATTACCTAATTTATTTGAGGCATATATCCATTCAAAATATAATCTTGTTCTGACAAAGAACATGGTTTTGAGCCTGAAAACAGCCACCTTGTGCAAAAATTTACCCGTTCAACCTAAAAGCTTAAGGTGTTAGCTAGGTGAGGCTTTTGAATGAGTATCAGACTTGAAGTGTGGACAAACACAAGACCATCCATACCTTTGCTGAAATTTAATGAAGGAGAGAATGATCAAGTACTAGACCACTTGATCATATAGGCTCTGATACCAAGATAGAACAGTAAATTAGAGAAAACGGGCTATAATATCATATTAAGGAACTATTCAACCTAAAACTCTAAAGCTGGTCCTGAAGAGCCTGGACCAGAATAATGACCTTCCTTTTCCTTGCTTTGTCTGGGGTTGATAGTTGTCTGTCTTACTGTGGCTAAACAAGTTTCAATATAAAGGGCTATTATGTTATGTTTTTCCACAGTCCCACCAATAGAATTTTCCAAAACTTTCTTGGAAATCATTTTCCAACAATATAAACATCAGAATATCTCTTTTAAGTATCATAATTAAGGTTTCATTCATGGTTCTCATGTGTGTTATTATTATGTTTTCCAGTATGATAGGGTTCCAACAATATAAGCTTCAGAAAATCTTAATCGAGCTCTTTTTCTTCTTTGTGTGTTATTATTATGTTTTTCTTGTGGGTTTTACTATGATACCTAAAGGACATGGTACCGGAAAAATGTACAGCTGCTCAACTGAACGTATCCGAGGTAACCAATCAGGCGTTATTCATCAAATTCACAGGGGTACTTTGATTGGTCAAATCTCCTTTCCGGTATAATATATAGATTTTCCCTTCTCTTGTATTTGGGTCAGATTGAGTTATTAAGAAAGAAAGAGTTTGTGATCTCGGGGGCAAGGTATGGTATGTTCTTCCCTATTATCATTTTCTTTTTCTTTGATAATTGTTAATTAAATTTTAAGGAGGCCCCTCGCATTCAAGGTCATTGAGCTTGAAGCATGAACAAGCATATACTTTATGCTGAAATATAATTAATCATGGGAGCAATAAGATTGACGGTTAGATCACTTGATTGTCCAACTCAAAAGCTTAAATTATTAGGTGATGTCCCTAAATAGGTGTCTATTTGGCAACTCTGGGCTGAAGATTCAGCAAAACTAGTTCAGCTGCTTTGAAGAGAGGCTACAGCAAACAGCCACCCTTCACTGACCAGTAGGCGCAGGGGCAGGGGCAGAGCCAGGGGGTGGCAGAAGGGAGCCACAGCCCCCCCTATGCGTTCACAACTCCCTATAAATTTATTTAAGTTTTACTTGTATTTTAGCCCCTTTATTCATGTTTTCTAACTTTTGCCCCCTCCCCTCTTTTCCATGTTTTCTAGGTTTTGACCCCTCTCAATAAAAAAACCTAGCTCTACCCCTGGGCAGGCGACAGCTGATTTGGGCTCTCCGAATTTTCACAGAACATAGCTTATAGGCTGTCTGTATGAAACCCACCTCATAAAGCCAAAAGCTGTGCAGAGACCTACCAAACGTGCAGTAGGTTTTTATTCTCTAACACGCATGATCAGAACCATGAGCAGAATAACTAATGACCACCCTTCCATTATTAGCTAGAATGGCGTATCCCATATTTTGAAATTTGGGTTTCTAATCAAAGAGGTCGTCCATATGAATTCTTCCTTCTCTTTAGTGCATTTTTCTTAAGAATGCATTTGGCTGATGAAAAGTAGATAAATCATTCGACAACAACATCATAACCTCGATTGTTGATACTTGATAACATTACAAACTAAATATCACACATCCAAACACACACGTTAATAGATAGCAAGCCACTCCTATGTATATGTTACTTGCAAGTAAACAATCCTTACTACAATCAACACAAATCAACATATAACATATCAAGTAGTTTCTCCTGTTGCTCCTTATTGGCTCAGTAGTTTATCCTGTACAACGTGTAAATTAACCAAAATTAGAGGAAATTTTCAAATATGCATGTTGTATTCTTTAAGAAACATGTCAAAATGTGTCTGTGAAAAGAAACACACATGAAACACATCTAAGGTTGTGTTTGGGGCTCGAAATCCCTTCTATATATGGGAACACTTCTTCATGGAAGAACTTAACAATCATGGTAAGTTATATATTTTTGTGAGAACATATTTAATTTATACTTCAATAAAGGTTTGAGGTGCAAATTAAATATTAGTCGTTTAGGCTCAGTTTGAAAGAAGTACAAATACAAATATGTAGAGTGTAAAACCTTGTATTTTATATTGTTTTGTATGTATTTATATTATATATATTTGTATTCGTACTCCTTCCAAACTGAGTCTTAAAAAAATTATTAAAAGGACTAATTAATATTACATTCTCAGCAAGCCAGAAAGTAGAAACATAAATTTTATGGTTTCAACTTTTGAAGCTCTAACATCCACAGGAGCACTTATGATCTGTAAATTCAATATCAAATACCACAGAATCACCGCCCAATGGAATCTGGACTCTAGAGGGTCCTATGCGAATGACACTGATACTATCCATCTTTTCTCTCTCTAATTATTTTCTTCCTTTGAGTGAATGATGTTGGCCATGAGGGTGTGAACTCAGATAATGATTTCTCCCCTCATGTCTTCTTCTGACAATCTCATTCTTGAGTGAACAGATGACCATATATAAGATGAGTTGGGCTTCTGTCTGTTTGAGCAGTCTTTACAGCCTTGCATTGGAAATATCTCCCTAATCATGTGCTTTATTTCATGGGAAGATATTCTGGATGCAAGGTTGCAAGAGGCTGTTGGGACGGTGTGAGCACGGACTTGCTCTGATTGAAGCAGATCTCATATAAGATGACCTTAAGAGCTAAAGCTATGTATCATATCATAATGTGTATAACGAGATCACATCTTCACCCTACAAGGGGCCGCCCCATAACGCCCCACAGCACATCCCCGTCGTGTATTGAGAACATCTCCAGATGATGACATCATCGGTTCTGGTATATCATTGGAAGATGTTCTTAATACGGCGGGAATGTGCTGTGGGGCGGCCCCTTGTGTATAACCTGCCAATTGCTAGCTTAACCTGATCAAAACGATACTAATTAATGTACCCCACCAAAAACAGTCTATGGATATGATCTTTTAGTGATGACTCATTAACCATTAGGATCATCAAATATATATATATATATATATAAACATAGTCCTATATATCTTTCATCTTTGGGCACTTACCTTGGGCGTCAAGTAATACTGGTATGAAGAAGTAGCTGGAGCCAAAAAGAAGAGGAACAAGGAGAAGCAAAGAACCCCATCACTAGCTATCATCTAATTTTCATCAATAATTAATGTATACATATATGGTCACACTGCACTAATATATATCACCCAGAGGCCAGTACATAACTTATCTTCTTCAGTTGTCAAGAGCAAGAAGGGGACACCGTCCCTACTTTAGTCAATTTAACGTTGTTGCATAGAGCTTTAGCTGTTCCCCCTTCTCTCACTAGACTAATGTCTTGCAGGAGAATCGCACTACATGGGTAGGTCTTGCTACAGTTAAAGTTTATAGCAATCGATGAAGCACTTGTTCCTTTGATGTTCTTGTACACCACATCTCTTACTTGCACCGCTGATTTCTGCCAAAACAGCCGAACCCAATCTGTCTTTGTTAGCCTATCATGCAGTAGGTATTGATGGGCTTTATATATAGCACTTTGCGTGCAGGATGGATCGATCTATCAGTAGTTAGAGTCATTACCTGTTCTTTACATGGCTCAGCTCTATCGCAGTAGTTCTGATCTATGATTATTGGATTGAAGACGTTGTTCATGGCAACGTTTTGGAACTTTATGTTGCTTGCACTTCCGGATCCTCCCTGCTCAGATTTGAATTAATGATACATGGTTAGAGAGGAAGTGCAAAGTAATTAATGACACTCAGTTCCGATCCGTTTCTAGTGTCTAGAAATAGTTGACTGTTCAAATTGAAAGTAGAGAAAGAAACATTTGTCACTTGTCACTCGGACAGGACCGGATGGTTGAACCAGTGGTCCAATGAGTTTTAGGTTTCCAGCTATTTGGGGGTTCTTATAGGCTGAATAATCTAACAGACCCATTAACCGGAACACCCTGATCCAGTGAGTTTTCCGGTTTCTTGTCTAGTCTGAGTCGCATTTGTTACAATTCTGGCTCATACCACCTCATTAAATAAAAACCTAACTGTATTTAAGTGTTTAGTCAACTTGACCTGGAAAAATTGAGAGAGAGAGAGAGAGAGAGAGATGGGTTTGACAAATAAAGATGAAGAGTGGAGAACGAGATGAGAGAGGGGGAGATATGGGTTTGACAAATAAAGATAAAGAGTGGAGAACGAGATGAGAGAGGGGGACACAAAAAAAGTAACACAATAAATCGCAAGGGTTTACGGTTGAAAAGGAATTAAAACATGTGAGACTTGACGAAAGGAGTGATCATTATTTTATGAAAGGTAATGGATATATTTGATAATTAATAATATTATAGGTCTTACCTGCCAAGTCTTGATTCTTACTCCATTTGTGGTTCCAGAGAGTTTGGCTCTATTTACTACTACATCCGAAACATGAGCTTCTGAATTGTCATCTCCCAAGCTTCCAATGCTGGACCCACCAAGAAAAATTAAGATCGATGAAGTAAGATTTGAGAAACTATCTATTTAACGAACCTTGAAAGTAGGAATGTTTTAGTTGAAGCTGTATAATATAATGGTGATCTCCAGATTAAGCAAGTTAACAGGTTGGTGTCAAGTAAGAGACCTGATTCCATGTCCTGGTCCACAGGTTATGTCCGTGGCTTCAACAGTTCTAGACCCACTTTCAATTGACATACAATCATCGCCTGCAGCAGATTGTGATTTCAGGTTACATTTAGGAACTGATCAACCTTTTCATTTAATTTGCAAATCATGTAGGAAGCTTGGACGTTGCCATACCTGTTCCAATGACAGAGCTCTTTATTTGGATGTTTTGGGTGTTTGTGATATGAATTCCATCTGTGTTAGGACTTTTCTCTGGTGCAGTTATCATGAGATTGGAAGCTTGGACGTTGGAACATTTCTCAAAGGAAACATGTATCTGCTGTGCATCTTTGATCCTCATATTTTTCAACCCCAAGTTATTGCAATTATAGAAGGTTACAGCCTGTTCAGGACAATTAAGAGAATTGAAGAACCTTAAAAGAATTGTAGCAGAGGAAACGAATTAATGTTGGAGCACAAAAAGATTGATGAAAGTTTAATTTTCAAAACTGAATTTCACCCATGCAGATCAGAAGCAGTTGAACATACCGTTGGTGCTTTCTTGCAAGGCTGCAAAAAATCCAGACAAGAAGTCAAGAAGAGTTAGTCCATTCACCAATATTAAGACAATTTGATTTAATAACTGAAATTGGAGAAGTTGTTTGATTAAGTGCTTACAAGAGTTTTGTTGATTTTGCAGGAAGACTGCCACCATGTCTTCCCATTTCCATTAATGGTTCCACCACCTTCAACCAGTAAATTTTTAATATTCTCAAAAATAAGCCAGTGCCTTCGGTCGTTTTTGTAGTCCAATTGATTGGCAGAAGCTTCAATTGTACCAGAAATCTGGTATATATGTATGTATAAATAAGTAAACAGAGAGTCTTAAATAACTGTGTTTGTAGAAAATTTGGTTTCTGAAGAAAATTAAAGGGTTGGTTAGCTTTTCTTAATTATACCGTTACTGTAACATCTGATTTGCAAGGACCCCAGAAGGTGACAGGCTTTAGAAGATAACTTTTGTCTTGGGGCACTACAAGAGTAGATGCTGATGATGAAGAACAAGCTGCCTTCCAAGCCTTCTTGAATGCCTGAATGGATCGAGCAAATAAGGCAGATAAATTTCACACTAAAAAATAAAAATGAAGGAAAGCCTCAAACTGCATCCAATATATAGCTCATTAAAGAATAAAGATTAATATAATTAATGAGACTTCAAGTTTCAATTTCATCAACATTAATTTGTGATTGAATTATGACACCTACCTCTGAGTCATCTCCTCCATCAGCCTTGGCCCCATAATCATCGACGTTAAACACTTGAGCTGAAGTTGACGGACTACCCACTTTAGCCAAAATCTCGTAACTAAGATTTTCAGGGTCATACTCGTTAAATCTCGCAAACCTATGCTCCAACTCTCCTTCTTGGTCATTGATGATGCCAAAGTATGTAGGATAGGCGCGGTGATCGTAACCAGAGGTTTCATCAATGAAACTAGAGAATGGGTCCTCTTGCAAACTTCTATAAAAGCAGGAAGAAAAGACCCACAGAATGAAAAGTGGGAGTAGGTGTCTCTGTAGAGCCATTATATCTCACTTTTTTAGCTTGTAAAAGATAGAAAAAACAAACTAGGAGATTTGGAAGATTGCTCGGATGTTAGAGGTATGGTGGTGATCCCATGTCATGATGAACTTGTGTATTTATAGAAAAGTGAGCATGTTTGTACAGGAAAGTTGTGAGAGAGAGTGAGAGAGAGAGAGAGAGATTTTTTCTACACAAAATTTTCAGGCTTGGATCCTGTTATCCATGATTCAGAAGTGTGGATTGAGCTACAAGAGACTGAGACGGAAAGATTTCCACACCAGTGGTCGCCAACTTTGTCCCACATTTTCTTCCTCTCTCTCTCCCCTCACAAAGGAAAAAAGAAGGGAAAAAAGAGTTAAAATAAATCAAACATGCATGCAAATTAACCAAATGACATGCATGGATAGATACACTCTTTCATAGTTTATACTTTAACCCAATTATCAACATAGCCTGATGGCCATTCTTCATATATACATACTTGTACATGTACATGCATGTATACATACATATATCCATGCATGAAAACATTCATTATTTGTGTATATGAACATGGGTTTTCTAGACATTAACATATATATGTCAAGAATACATGTTTCTCTATATCCACATGTGGGGTTTGAAAAGATATTATTTATTTTATCTTGTTTGGGATAAATTCTAGGCCATGTATAGGCTAATGGGTGACGTATTTATCTACACATACCCATGGCGTTACAAGGCACACATGCTTATGGGCATGATGTCAACGGGTGTATTTTGGTGGATTGAGTTAGGACTTAGGAATTCTCGCACTGTTTGGGTGATTATCTCATAGAGTAAGAAAGAAGAAGGTGAGTTTATGGTAAGATGGCATTTGCGTGTGCTTTTGGGATGAGAAAGTATTAGCATCACCAAACTTGCCGTGGTGTGTCTGGGAAATAGATGAAGAGAGATGGGTTTGGAGTAGAGTCGTTTGTGACTTAGGTTTGTTGCTCTAAGAGGCCTTGTCTTTGTCACATAATGAATGGTGAGACCTAAGAGGCAAGAGCATCTCCCACTCCTTTGATTGTCTGGATGGTCCTCCTTATTTATTTTTCTCTCTTTTCCTTGTGTCACATGACTGTGGTTGGGTAGTCTTAGGTCTCAAAATAACTACCCATATCAGATGGGATGGCATTGATGGATAGGAATTTTTGGTTTGTACATTTGGGCTTACTAAGCGCATTTGCCACGTGTTCGTTCAGATGATGAATGCGACATTGACACATGGGACTGTCTGAGGGAATTGTGCCGTTGTTATCTCTGGTTTTCGAGGTTACACGTGGCATCTGCATGATCTGATTGTTCTTAATTATTTTTGTTGAATCTATGGGTGATCAAGGCGTATAGAACATATATTGATTAGATATTTGCCTTAGCTAGTGCTGAACTACCTGAATCAGATAACTAATAGTTGGCTAAGAAAATCAATCTCAATTAGTGCTCTCAATTCCCTTTCATTGTTGTGATCTTCAGAACAAAGGATGAAGTATGTGATGAGTGTGGCACACTAGTGTAAGGGCCCAGGCCCATCCATTAAGTCACGGGCTTCAATTTCTTCTCAGGTTTCTAAGGGCCCTATGGAGAACCAAGCTGGCCCAAATTGGATGGGCCTATAAAGCAAGGACAACCATTATTGTTGTTACAAAGATTTGTTCTCAAGTTGCCAAAAAAGGAAGCACATATATAGGGCTCTATGGACGACCAATATTGGCCCAAACTACATGGGCCTAGGCAACCTCCACAACCCATTGCTTCAGCTTGGGCTTGAAGTGCTTTCTAACTCTTGGTCTCTATGTTGTTCCCCTGCACTATTTCAATTGTTCAGACAAGGTAATTATCAATGTTGCTTAGAGACATGGGATTCGAAAACATGCGATCACTTGCAAAAAGCAGAGGAGATAACATCTTTTCATGGAAAAGTTTCTAAACTCCAATTAAGTGGAAATTTGACTAATCTTAATCACACTCTGAAGGGATTGAGTCTTCTATTGCCTTAGAAATGACATAGCCACACCAGAACCGTTTGATAGGTATCAGCTGTATCCATGGGTCCATGTCAGCACTAGGTAGAACTTCCTTGTTGAACACTTACTTTCAAGACTGCTTTGATTATTTATAACTGAATGGCCCAAGAAAATCTACCACCGAAACTAATCAAAAGATAAACCTAATATGGATATGGTTGTCTAATTAGAAGAGTCCAATTAACGGGTCTTGTCTGTATCATGAAAATTACAGAGGCAAAAGGTCACCCAGTTAATAATACATGGACCTGTTTCTGCTTCTGCCACCTAAGTTTTTCTTCAGTAAATGAGTTCGTTAGAAGGTCACTGGGGAAATCCCACTTTATCAAAAGCCATTAAGCATATTTGGTAAAAAGTTCGGGAAGCCAAAAAAAAAATACTTACAAGAGCTGAAAATTTGATTTTCCAGTAAAGATATCTTAGGTAACTTGTCTGAAGAGGCTCAATCAGTGCAGAAGCACCGCCAAACACTCCCTTGGTTGGTTCATTAATGAAGTCTGAGGCTGTATTTCGTTTGGATCCCATATCAACTGCCAATTTTTGGAAACTTCTACTTTAGATGTTGTATTAATTGCCATTGTCAACCTTCCCCTCAACCCCCCTAAAACAATCAACACCAGCAATGTAACTTCTATGGTGATGATGACATGTGAAACTCAAATAAGAGAGAGAGAGAAAGAGCATCTTGTTCACTGGTAATGGTAACAATGATGGATGGTTGAAATCAAGAAGATTACTTGTCAATTGTCACCAACTGGTTTCCATCAATAGTGAACGAGATGCTGATGGTTACTGATAACAAGACTGCCACTCGGCTCTCTCTCCTTTGAATTATAGAGAAGCTCAGCACCGAGGGGAATTTCTCATCTTTGTCATCTACAGCCACGTAAGGTCACAAGAAGTGTACATCTGATCAAGATAGATCCTTGTGGGGGTGGGGTGAAAGATCAAGTGGCCATTGACCAGAGTAGGCTGTCGTTGGGCTTTGAGGCCCTGTTCGAAGAGATGGTCTGTTTAAGACCAAAAAGGTTAAGAAATAACTTTTTTTTTACCTTATTTCAGCATCTTTCCATCAGTTTCACATACAAAGAAGGGAGTCAAATTAAGGGTCATTTTGATAACTGAAATGGCTGAATTGAAAACCCATTGCTTTTAGTGAACTGAAGTTGGATTGATTATACAATACATTGGAAAATTATTTCCACGAAGCCACTTGAGCCGTTATCAAACAAGTCTGTAAGGCACTGTTTGACTGCATGTACTAAGATAATGTATTAAGATGAAGGATTTCCTGAAATTAATTTGCTATTTTTCCATGAAAAGCAAATTCAGCTTCCTGCAGAAAAGTGTGTATTAGTTTATTAGATGTAGGAAACCAAACAGAGGGTTGGTCGTGTTAATTCAAACATCACAACGCCCATACATTTCCCAACCTTTTAGTATGTCGTTCAAGTTTAATCCAAGGCGTACCAGGAAAATAAAAAAAAGGGCAAATTTCTTATGTTTAATTAATTGGTAAATTGTATCCTTATGTCTTAAACTATGGCTATTGTTTTTTACAATAGACATCGTCAGTAAGCGTTAACCGAAAAATTAAAATATCAAATTTATCCTTCACTATTCTTCAAATTTTCAAAACAAAACTCTTCTTTTCATGCCTAAGCCCGATAAGATGTTTACATGCATGTAAGGGGGTTGGGGGTGCTTTGCACTGATCCAGGACGGGGTGTGTGTGCGTGTACGTTTACGTGCGTACGTGTACACACCAATGCACAGTCTTTTCTGTTTCTTCTCTAAACATCCATCTGAGCATCAATCTTTGTAGTTCACTGAGACCTGATAAGTGAATGCACGCCTATCAATGGTCTGTGGGTTGTTTTATCTTGATGATCGATTTGCAATCACCCGGTTGTACTATAGGACTAAGTGGCACAACTCAACCCTCATCTCTGCAAGTTCTCAATTTCACAGTTCTGCAATGCTATAGGTTCGCAAATTGTCAGTTTGAAAAGCGATTATTGATAAGTTTTATTTTGCAAATCGATCATCAAGATAGAAACAGAGGGAGGAGGTATTAGGTACCAACGCTGATATCACGAGGGTCCCTATTCATGACCAGCCCGAAGACACCACCGACGATTCTCAGCCCTATTCAATGTCATGAGTTACAGTCGAAGGTCCCTGTGTGGGGTCAACATAGCCCTGTTCAATGGCACCAGCGCAAGTGTCCGGCACCAATGCCACCGCCAGCGTAGGAGAGTCAACAGAACGGCAAAAATCCCTCGCAACGGCCAAAATCCAAAAATCCCATATGCATCTTGTCCGTCGACGCCTGCAACACAGAATCGCACCGCACCCCTTAATAACGTTATTTCTTGAGAAAGAGAAACTCGACTATTATTCTTTTTTCCTTTATAGTTACATTATATGTTGCTGTCTTTTATTTTATTTGGTTAAAGCATCGAAGGACATAGATGATTCCTATTGGCTAGGATGGGTTCTTGGGAAGATGAGAGAGAGAGGTCGGAGGAGGAAGGGGGTGTCATGTTCTCTATTGCCTCAAAATGAAGGGGATGGGGTCACGGGGGTAATATTAGATTTAAAAAATTTTTGGATAAATTGACTGCACTCCATCTCAAAATTTTAAATTCAACTGCACACACCTACAACAATTCAAAATTATAAACACCTCCACCTATAATATTCATACCCAACAATTGGCATCAATTCGAACTAGCACCTATTCCAGCTGTAGAGTTGATGAGAACGATCTCCCTTAATAATTAGCCTTTTATGTTTATTTTATGCCCAAATGCACTCATAATTCTTATATTTTGGTTTAAGGCACGAAATGAGGCGCTAGGTGAGAAACAAAGCTAATCGGGTCATTTTACACAGTTTCGGCGCCGTGTGGTAGATTGAGCATAACTTTCTCATCCGGAATCTAATTGAGATAATTTAAGA